ACTTTGTGCATTTTTCTACTCTATCTTTATCTTTCTTGTGTTTCTAAGCACATTGATAAAGCAAAAAATTATTGACTGTCAACTCAGATCATTCACCACAATGTTAACTTAGATTTGGCAATGTTAACTTGAATTTTATTTTGGGGGAAGAGTTCAAATAAAGGGAAAATAGAAAAGGAAATGAATTTGAAAACAAATAATTAGAAAAAAAGAGGCTTTTGAAAGTAAAGAAGTAAATATTCAAAAAGAAGAAAGAAGTAGAAAACAAAGGAAAAGAAAAAGTTTTGGATAAAAAATGAAAGAAATGAAGTATAAATGTATTGAGTGTGTTTTTTAACGATCTATAATATAAAATAAGATAGATTTTAATAAATTTATTTGACAGTTTTAAATAGATTCATCAACGGTCATCAACATTCCTCTAAAAATTATTTATATTACATCGTACTTTCGGACATAGACTATCCATACTATTATATATATATATATATATATATATATATATATATATATATATATATATTTTCAGACACGGATTATCCCTACTTCCAATGGACACATACACAACAATCACTGGAACCCGTTTTGTCTCGTACGAAGAATGGCAACAGACATTTGTGAAATAATTGGGACCGATTTTTTACTCACTAAACCAACTGCTCAGGGTCGCCCAATTGTATTAAAGAAAAACGTGAATTTTAGGTCTCAAATTTTTAGAATATACCATCATTTTGATAGTAGAGAGTATCAGTAACGAAATTAAGTTGCAAGATTATTTTACAGGGCTCAGCATTGGGTGTCATCAGCGCACCAAACGCACAACACAGAGACGAAAGAGAAAGAGAAGTGTGTGAAAACTTAAAAGAAGAAAAAAAAAACACAAAAAATAAAAAAAATTAACTCCCTTTCTCTCTGTCTCTTTGTTTCTCTCTCTGAAACTCTCTTTCTTTCTCTGTATCTTGCTATTCTGTGAAAGTTTTCTCTGGCCATGGTGTCATCTACGCGGTTAAGAATCACAAGGAGCCACCGATGATCGGCTTCTTCGTGATTTTTTGAAGACTCTGATTAAATCGGTGCGAGATTCTCTTTATCTTTCCTTCGGTTGTATTTTTGAACCAAAGATTCGTTGATTGGCTTTATTTCCAGATTTTATCATTTTGTGTTTTGTTGGTTTGGATCTGTAGATCGTTGTGTAGTTCGTTCCTCTTATTCTGTTTCTTGTGTTTGTGCTTTTTTATTAAGATATTCTGTGTATTTTTCGGAAGTAAAGATCTTCCTTGAATTGCTTTTCTTTTACTTGGATCTTTGTTGATTTCATGTACATCTGTTCAATCTTATACATATCATGTATAGCATAGAGAGTTGAGAGATATATGCTTTTAATTTCTGTTAACTGTACCTTTTTCATTTTTCACCTGAATAGTATATTTCATGGGTTATCTTGAATTGATGATTCCATTTCTTATATTTCCACAAGAGTTATTTGTGCAGCGTTTTTTTTAGAAGGTCTTAACTGCAATTGGAAGGTTGTTTACTTATAAATAGATAAGAGTTAATCTTCTGAAATGCTGCCTGAACTTGAAAGTATCCGTTTGCAACCTTGCCCTGGTGATTTTTTTTTATTTTTTCAATTGTGCAACTTTTTCATTGATTGACAATGTCCATTGGGAAACTAGGGTTTCATGGAATCTTTGGGGCTGAATTTTCTGAGTAGCTAATAAATCTAATACTTAATACTCGTGCCGTTATATTTATGTCAAATATAAATAGTACGTGGTGCGAAAATGAAAATGAAGAAAGACAAGCTCTCTTGTACTGGTTTAGGTTGAAAAAGTGGTAGAAATAGAATTAATTGGTTTGATCTGGGGATTGAAGCATAGACCCTATCAGTGATATAGTACTTGTTGAGTTTTTGTTTGTGAAATTTGATTATTTGGAATAAAATTAATGGCTTATGTGTGACTAATCCCTCAAGATTCATGGACACTACTAAGCAGGTATCATGTCTGCATTGGAAACTTTAGGGATACTGATACTTTTTGTACATGTGATCAATACTCCAATGACTATATCCATAATTCAAAACACATGTCCAATACTTCTTAATGACACGTCTGACACTTCATTCGTATATATATTTTAGAAATTTCCATATGATCCATACTAATTAATTAGATGCTTACATGCAATTCTCAACTCAATTCAACTCAAAAAAGTATTGAGCCAACTATATGGGATTGAGTATATGAATCATATTTTTTCATTATGATCCATCAATATGTGCTTCTCTATTAAATAACAAATTATCATATTGAAAAACTTCTCCAAGGTAAGATAACATTGGACTCATCCCTATAAAGTAAACTTTGAATACCTGCACTCATCCATTAACCACAAGTATTAGTTAAATTCGAGAGTCACTTGTGATAGTCGAACTCAAGACATCTAAATTTAGTTCTCCCCAAGTTAACTCCACATTACTGGATTATATGTACAGGTTATTATATCAATTTTTATTTTCTCGGTCAAAATTAATTTTAGTCTACTTATACCCCTCGCATTGCCATTGATAGTTATTACATCATTTTACTCCAAATTTGACTTTGACTCACAATTGTCACTTGCCAACACATGAAGTGTGCGTTGCACAATTTTTGTTAATATGGATGGAAATACTAACGGTAACATGTTAGTCCAAAACCAAATGATGGTTATGTGGTTATTTTTAGACGATAAGGGGGTGAAGTACTACAAGGTCAAACCATGGAGGGGTAGAATAGAATTTACTCTTTACTTTCTTGTATTCATGTTCAATGTCTTTCCTCAAGCTTAATCCTATGTATAGTGGTACATATTTGTACATGTACATACATTTACTCACATGTACAAGTGTAATAGGTATTTGATGATATATATGTACGGATAGCTATTGAAGAGTAGTTATCAACCATTCTTTTGCTTTTAATAAAAAGTGAATATTTGACTAACTTTTTTTTTTGGTTACCTTATGCATGTGAGGATATGTCCGGGCTACATGTTTTCATTATGTAAACGGGGTGTTGGAGTAATTGAAATAATTATTTGCCTAAAACAAAGAGTTTTTTGTGCAAGAAAAAATAATTTTGACCACAAAATGTCAGATCTACTTAGCATGCTATTGAACAAGTCTCTCATGCATGTTATTGTTATTGGATTAAGTTTGAACAAATCTCATATGAAAACAAGAGACTTACTTGAATATTTTATATGGATTGCTGTTTATTGATATATTAGATGGATTGTTGTTTGAGTGTTGTCATTTTGTTGCATCCATATCGTGGGCATTATGTCACATATCCATATCCACGTTGCCTAGTTTTTTTTTACTATTCCCCATTTTGTTACCCATTTTTAAAAGCTCAATAATTTTGCAATTTTATGATATTGATTTTGTTTGGTGTTTTAATTGTTTTCGTTATTGATGTATATTAATACAGTTTTATTTTATTTTGTTTGCAAAAGTAATTAAGTAAATGGTCTTTTAATATGGAATAAATATCAAGTAAGTCCTACTTTACATTCCTAATTCCCGTTAATTCCTATACATCTTAATGGTACCAAGGAGTCTTACTTTTTCAAAAATGATTCCAAACAAGTTCACAATTTAATTTATTTTCCCACTTTATCCCTTATAACTAGAAAATGACTTTGGTTTTTAAGTCTAAAACACATCATAATTTACAAGACAATAAATTACAAAAAAAAAAAAAATCAATTATTTTGTAATATTTTCAAGTTTGAATTTGTAACGTAGGAAATAATTTTATTCACTTATTGGTTTTTTACCACTTAAAATCGATATCAACTTAGTGATTTGATTAAGTTTTTCACAAGTCTTTATTGGATATTTGTTCTATAACTTGTGAATTAATAAATTAGTACATATTTGAAGTTAAAAGTACAATTGTTTTTATTGTTATAAGTGGTAAAATAAGACTTCATGTAGACTATATACTTATTTGGAATCATTTATGAAAAAGTAGAACTTAATGGTACTAATGAGGAGCTATAGGACTTGATGGAAATTTTGTATGTAAAGTTGGACTTGTTGGTTATTTTTCCTTTAATACTTTGTAAATGTTTCAGTGACGGTATTTATGTGATTAGGTTGGCATAAATGTCTTCTTTTGTGCCTTTTTGACTGTTCGGTTTATGGATGGCTTTGATTGCCTTATTTTTTGGGTCTCATTTATTGTTGCCCTCTAGTTTTTTTCAGATTAGCTTCATTTACGTTATATGACTTCGTAACCGTCAACCGTTTCATTTTTTACGTTCAGTGGAGGAGGAAAGTAATATGATGTTTTGTACATTTGTTAGAGAGAATGCACTTCTATTTCTTGGATATTTTTTTGTTAGGAGCACATGATGTTTTACTGATACATTTAAATTTTTGTGATGGTAGACTTGCTGGTGTGTATGGCTTGAATTGCTGTAATCTTAAACCCTATATATTGTTGGCTTCCCACTTTTTTTTTGTTTTTCTAGATTCAGTTACGTTATGGCTTCCAACCCATCAAAAGTTGCCACTGTGGATATCTCATTGTTAAGGGAAGTGAATGGGGTGCTGTTGATATCTTACTTTAGTTTTTCCTGTGGTATTAATGGGCCTCATTGGCTTCGATGTAACGTAAGGGTTGGATTGATGTAATCTTGAACCCAATTTATTGCTGTCTTGTCGCGTGCTTGCTAGATTAATTTCACTTACGTTACATAGTGGTTATGTCATTTATGAGTACTGAGAAAGATGTTAATCCCAATTTATTGCTGTCTTGTCGCATGCTTGCTAGATTAATTTCACTTACGTTACACAGTGGTTATGTCATTTATGAGAACTGAGAAGGATGTTATATATAGTAAAGAAAGTCTACTTCTATAGCTGGTCTATTTATGTCTTGTTGATTTCAGCAGGTGAATGCTTTGTTGTGAAGGTAATATAGTAAGCAGGACATTTTTCTTAGCAAATGGCTTCAGTGCGTGTAGCACCATCTTCTGGTTTGAGAGAATCCAGTGGCCATACTGTTGAGGTAGATAGGTTACCTGAGGAGATGAATGATATGAAGATTAGGGATGATAAGGTATGTAGTTGCAAAGGTTTACCGTTCTATGTCTGATAGTGTTCTTTGCTCATTTGTGTTTCATTGGTTGTAATTTTTATTCCCCAGTTCATATAGGGTGCTTTGCTTTTGCAGGAAATAGAAATAACTGTTGTTGATGGTAATGGGACTGAGACAGGTCATATAATTGTCACAACTATTGGTGGTCGAAATGGCCAGCCAAAGCAGGTTTATAACTATCACTTTTGTTAACTATTTTTAGGTCTGTTAGCATGTGCTTCAGTTTTCCATTTTTGATTGTTCATAAACTTGTATATGCTTAGCTTCCTTCATTTCTTGAGTGCTAGTTCATAGGAGATCTTGTGAAGGGTCAAGGGTGGGTGGGTCAGGGCCCTTAGGCCCTTTTTTAATTCTTTATGGATTGAATCATATTATATTTTGCCGAGATCAGCAGGGTTTAGGAAATATGTATTGCTTGGACTTTTATGGAGGGGAAAACTGGTTTCTAGTATAACGATTCCAATGATATACCTAAAGTGATGCTATTTACATAACTAACCTTGGGCACGGTTTTTTGATTCATTAAAAATACATTGGCATAAAATATGGGTGTGATTCACCCTAGGCTTAGTTATGTTACTCATGGTTCAAGAATGCAGTATCGACGATCGACACAGGCACTAGGACGCATCAATCGGGACATTGTGGAATGTATTTGGTGATACGCATGAAATGCTAGATTAAAGAAGTTTGACATGATGAGAGATTGAAGTCATATTGTCGTGTCGTGGAATTGTATCGGATGATAGATTGCGAGTCAATGAAGATGACTCAAATTACTCGACTGAGTCGACCGACTTGTTTAAGGCAACCATGAGTCGAGTGAAACTTGTAGTTTACACGAAACGTTGAACAACATCCGAATGGAAAGGACGGAGTTTGATTCGACTCAGCCAAGTTGTATCATATTTGACCTATCCTTTGAACTATTAAATCACTATTGTGGTTAAGATCGATACCTTGTCTCATCATGGGGTTTGTGTTTCGCCTCTTATACTCTTGTTTGCATGAACTTATCTTCTTTTCCTGATTCATAATTTTACATTTTTCACTCCATTAAAGTTCATTTGTTAATAATTTCAGACTATTAGTTACATGGCTGAACGTGTGGTTGGACATGGATCATTTGGAGTTGTGTTCCAGGTAAGATTTTATATTGTTTATTAATGGGAGACTGGCTGGGTTTCATGTGTAAATATTTCTGTACAAGTAGATAAAATTTGTAAACATTATTTGATGTTGATTTTTATAGTTTTCTTCCCGGGAAGGTACTGATTTTCATTGTTTACCTAGGCAAAATGCCTAGAGACAGGTGAAACCGTGGCCATAAAAAAAGTTCTTCAAGACAAGAGATATAAGAATCGAGAGTTACAAACCATGCGTCTTCTTGACCACCCAAATGTTGTGTCCTTGAAGCATTGTTTCTTCTCCACAACTGAAAAGGATGAGCTGTATCTTAATCTGGTACTCGAGTATGTCCCTGAAACTGTTCATCGCGTAATCAAACACTACAATAAGGTCAACCAAAGGATGCCGCTAATATCTGTGAAGTTGTATACATATCAGGTATGGAGATAATCAAGGAAATTTGATGTGCTTGTATATTCAATGAGTGTGTTCTCTCTTACACATGCAAGAAGTTACCCTTTTTTTTGTTCATGAACTGTTCTGCATGATTTATACCTGACAACATCTGGCATTTAGTGAATAATGCTGTTTTCCTCATTGTGTGTATTTTCAGTGAAAAGCATCTATTGACACTCGAGCTCACACAGTTCAGCCTTGTCATATGTGTTGTTTTAAGTTGCTTGTAGTTCAACCATCACTCTACTAGGTCTGGTGGCCTACCTTTTCTTCAGACTGCCACCCCCGATCACAAGGAAAACCCTCATGTTTGTGAAGTAAATCTAAACTTCCTTGTAGTGGAGCTTGTTTCAATTTTTTTTTTTTTTTGGGGAACTCTTGAATTTAGGAGTCCTGCATTGGAATTTATGAAATATTCTTCTGCGATTATGTTTGCAAGATATGGATGAAGAAGTGATTAATTGAATGGAATTGAGGTTAAAATGAAATAAAAGTAGTTATTGCAATTTATCTATACTAATCATAACCCGTGCCTTCATAAAATATAAAATTTGAGCGTCTAAAAAATCGATCTTACTATATTAAATTTTTTCAAAATATATTAACTACAATTAATTAAATATTAAATGATTAAATATATGATAGAAATGAGTGGTGTGAAATTTTTAGGGAGGAAATATATAAATGATTAAATATGTGATATAAATTAATGATGTGATTTGATGTTTGAGTTTGACAAATGAATGATGGGTGAGGTAAGTGATTGGTGATGGTTTTGAGGGGAAAAATATGACTTGGATAAAATTCAAACACACTCCTGTTTTATTATATAGATGTATGTTTTATCATTTTCTTTTGTTGAAAAGAATGGCGCTGACTACTTTTCTTGGTTTTCTGGTGGACTTGCCATGTGGCCCATATCATTCTTCTTGATTAATCATTCATTTTATTTTTGGACTTCTAAATTGACTCAATGCGACAAGTGTATAACATGCTATTGGTACTTGACAGATCTTCAGGGCATTGTCTTACATTCATTGCAGTATTGGGGTGTGTCACCGTGACATCAAGCCTCAAAATCTATTGGTATGTTGACATTTACATTTGTTTAGTTTTTTGTTTTGCTTGTTAGTGGTGGTGTAATGTTGTAATTCTCGGGTTGTGATTACCCTATATTGAGAAGTACTAGCTAGATTGAAACTAACACAGGTAATCATGTCACTTTCAACATTAGTCCAATAGGCAATAGTAGTCCAATAGGCAATAGCAATAGTAGTCCAATAGGCAATAGCCCAAAGCAAGTATGAAAATAGAAGAAATTAGTCCACAACAAAGAGAAGAATCAGTTGAAAATAGTAGTTGAAGAAATCAGTCCACATTTGCGTTGTGAGAAGCCAACACAGTGTAAATCAGCAGAGAGAAGATCAAACTCAGCATAAAAACCAGCAGAAGAAGTCAACAAGCATGAAAGACAATACCTACCACTGTAGAGGAGTCTCAACAACATTGGTTGAAGAACAAGGCTGAAAACAGAGATTAAGTGCTGACACAAATATAAGACCAGATTTTTGGCAGCAATCAGATCAAGGGGCTTCAAAACCTTCAATCAAGCATCAAGGATACTGAATTGCATCTGCTATGAGGGATTTGACACAAAAAATTTGAACAGACTTCATGAAAATTGTAGATTGTGAAATTCGGCAAAAATTCTAGCCAAAAAGGCTGAAAATTGATCACAGATCAACCCAATTGACTTCAAATCATTCAACTGAACACAAATCTCTCCTATTCAGACGGATGTCTTAGGGTGGATGTGAAGCAACAAAATTGAAAAAAAGAGATTAAACTTGCATTCAAAAAAATTGAACCATATTTTTCAAAAAAAAACATTGGAAAAATCAAAAACCTTATCCAATGACTACAAAATCGAAAACCAACTCTACCATTGAAAATCGAGTGGAATGGTGCCTGCACCTGCTCGGAATGATGACATCATTACGCAATCACCTTTGCTGATGACATCAACCCTAAGCCAAAAGAAGACTCTTCCTCTGCCAGTTATTACTGAGATGCTAAGCGTGTTTCAGATCAAAACATGCTTTGATATCCTGTAATGTTTCAACAAAAGAAAGAGAAGTAAGAGAACAGGAAAGAAATATTACTTTGGCTAATTGTTTGATTACAACATTAAAACATAAAGATGTAGAGTAGTGACTCTTTATAGTAAGGCAAAACAAAATAAATAAATGACTAAACTACCCTAATATTAAAATACTCTAACACTACTTAGTGATTGAAATACTAAGATAACACCAATGCAGTATTCAAATATTAAGATAACAATAATGCAGATTACTTCTTGTTTTTGCATGTGTAGTTTTAATTTGGTTCAAAAGTGTGGCATTGAAAGACAAAGCAAAGTCTTTGACTGAATTCTTATTTTCTTTAAGGAAATATTTTATGAAAACTAAAATTTTATTTCAAAAAAATGACAAGATATATGTTATATAGCTTAATAGAGCCCTAAGGCCGCTCGACACAAACTCTCAACAAGAGCAATACTGCATTTGCCTCCTAATCAAAGGAACACCCCAAGACTAGAATAAAACACTTGTCTACCTGTGTAATTAACAACATAAGTGAAGGCAACGACAAAAAATTCCCTCAGTGTTTCAGAGAATAGATAAACACAGTAAGAAGGTTTACCTTTGTAGACATTGCATTGATCTTTCTTCTTAGATGTAGGTGGACTAGGCATCACTTGCTGAAACAAGCTTGAAGTCTGCCACCTTGCACCCGAAGATTTTGTATCTTTTGGCTGCTTTATTTTGTTATGCATGTGATTTGAATGGACTGTTTTGGTCATGAAAATGGCTATATTTCCCTTTGATAAAAGTTAATCTTGATTAATTGACAGCGTGAGAATTTAAACTCTTTTTGAATGGATTATTAAAAAAGAAAGAAATGCAAATCTTTTGCTTGTTTGGGCTATAAGATCTTGTTTATGTTGTGGACTTTTTGTTGGGTTTGTTTGTAGATGTTATATGCTTGACTTTAAGTTGGTTTATCATCCTTTCCTTGTCCTCGTTATTCTAGTGAGAAAACATTAGTTGACTTGTGCTTATGTGAAATGTATCTTAATGATCCACGTTGGAAAGTTCTTGAATTTTTTTAATAGGTTTGAAAATGATATATAGGTGTGTCTATGTACCTATAGATTTTCTAACGGTGCAATTGCATTTGCAGCCATGATACTGTCTTCTGTGGCCTCTTGAGAAGCATTCTCAATCTTTTGTGCCAGAAGTGAAGCATGTTACTTAATTTTTATTTTAGTTTTTCTTTTTATTTTGATATCGAGCATCTTGTCTAGGAAGATAAGTCTGTTCTTTTGTTTTTATGTTGACATGCTTTTAAATGTCATCTAGGGATGCCCTCTTTTCCATGCATATAAACTCCTATCAGCTGAACTATTCTTAGCCCCTAACAACTCTACATCTTTCTGCAGGTGAATCCACATACACACCAGGTTAAATTATGTGACTTCGGAAGTGCTAAAGTTTTGGTATGTTCTTGTTTATATTGCCATTGTTTTCTGCCAACTCTGATAATTTTGTAATCTGTTTTGACGGGATGCTTGACTTTTGCATTTTCCTGATTTTTGGCAGGTAAAAGGGGAGCCCAATATATCTTACATTTGTTCTAGGTATTATAGAGCACCTGAGCTTATATTTGGGGCAACAGAATATACTACAGCTATTGACATTTGGTCTACTGGATGCGTTCTTGCTGAGTTACTTCTTGGACAGGTATATGGTTTCTGGTTTCCTGCATGCTATAGTTTGGTTTTAGGTATGCCATAATAGGTTTTACATTTCCTTTTTGTTCCCCAGCCGTTATTCCCGGGTGAGAGTGGAGTTGACCAGCTGGTTGAAATTATTAAGGTAATTTTCCATTCTATCTGTGTTTGTGTGTGCGCATGAGTAGTAATTGTGTGTGCACGCATGAGTAGTAATTTTATTGTTTATCTCTGGTATTAAATTCATATTTTTGGGAAAGAGTGTTTTGTTTTAGATGGAGGGGAAGCGTGTTCTATTGTAAGCTTTCTTATTAGTTCCCCTGTTATGAGACAAGTAGGGACTTCTATCGTAGCCTGATCTGCGTCTTCCGCTGGCACATCATCATGTGCTTATCTGACAGATTGTGTACTCCAACAAGGGGAAATTAAATCCATGGATCCTAATTATACAGAGTTCAAATTCCCACAAATCAAAGGCATACATTTAGTGACATTTGCTAGTGCTAAACAACGTGAAGCAACAAACCTAAAAGACGTCTGCAAAAGTATTTCTATGTTTGGGTTGTAGTTGTATCTATGTTGCACATTTGTTAGCAGTGGCTCTATGTTCGCTGCTTCTTAATTTCCCTGTTATGAGGCAAGTGTAGCTTATTCCGCTGGCACATCATATGTGATTGTTTGACAGGTTTTGGGTACTCCAACAAGGGAGGAAATTAAGTGCATGAATCCTAACTATACAGAGTTCAAATTCCCACAAATCAAAGCTCATCCATGGCACAAGGTACATAGAATACCAAGTGTTAATAATTGTTTTATATTGTAGTGTCATACATTGATATGCATTCCTTTCCTCCTGTTATCAGATATTTAACAAACGCATGCCTCCGGAAGCTGTTGATCTAGTATCAAGATTGCTTCAATACTCTCCTAATTTACGGTGCACAGCTGTGAGTAACTTAAAGTTCTTTTCCGGCCCCCTTCTCTTTCATTCTTTATTTTCTCTAAATTTTGAGTGAATTTACTTTCAATGCAGCTGGATGCCCTGACCCATACCTTTTTTGATGAGCTACGTGATCCAAACACACGCCTGCCAAATGGACGTTTGCTTCCCCCATTATTCAACTTTAAGCCTCATGGTGTGAACTTGGAACTCATTTTTTTCACCTTAGCCTTACCTTTTTATCAAATTTGTACTGACGGAACCCACTGATGCTACTGCCCTGTTGTTTTTAGAGTTGAAGGGGATGCCGGCGGAAAGTTTAGTGAAGTTGATTCCAGAGCATGCCAGAAAGCAGCTTCCTTTCCTTGGGTTGTGAGTTCTTGAAAGTATATGAAAAACCAGCAAGTGTTCTATATGGAAGCTGTGTCTTCCTTCTATGCCTATTTGTTCCCTTTCCTTCTTTCCCTCAGTTTCCCTTTTTATGTTATTGTTTTGTATTTGCATATTTAGACGAATGCTGTTCAATTGTGCCCAGACCTTAATATGTACTGTGTTCATCCTATTTCTATATTTTAACTTACGAATGCTATTTGATTGTGCCCAGACTTTAATAGGTTTTGTGTTTATCCTATTTGTATCTCTAAAATTACGTGTAAGAATGAACTTCTGGCAGTTGATATTGTGCATTCTTTTGCTTGTGGCCTTGGTTTCAACTATTTTTATTCTATTATTTACATGTGTTTTTACTGGTCTATGGGTTTTATGTAACCCTTTTTTTTTACCAAAAATATCATAATTCCAAACATACTTGTTGAACTATTAGTAAGGCAATTTTGTTTGGAAAGCACACTTTCGAGGTTTTTCAGTTTAGAACTGTGTTTTCAAAGTACTACTTTAGTTTAAAAACGTGTTTCTGAATCACGAATTTATAAAAATTGTGATTGTTTGATAAATAAGTTTAAAATTACAGTATTTTGGTGAAAAAGTTGTAAAAAAAAGATATAAGAATTAATTCATTTTATATTGGGGACAATGGTATATTTATGAATTGTGTCAATTTTGTTAGATTCGTGTTGATGGGTTAGAGTTCAGAACCTTATTGAAAGGTCATTGGTCTGTGCATACCCATGTACACTTGAACTTTAAAATACTAGGTACAAGAATTTTAAGCATGCATTATTGCGTTGATAGTATTATTCTTGGTTTATACGAACAATAAATGTGTTCTTATTTAATTTTACTGCAAACTTTTTGTACCATCTGGCTTGATGCTTGATGGCAATAATTGGATAATTAGTAGAAATATTAAACCAACACTCTACAAGAGTTGGTCAAAAAATTAGTCAATGTAGCATTGCTGTTAATATCAAATGTAGTGACGCAGTTTTTACCCTCCGAAGGTCTTGGGCACTGCACTTCACCAAATATAATAATTGTTTAAATGGCAAAACTATCCTCTGATTTTCTCTAATCATCAGAAGAAGCATTTTGTCTGAAGGGTAATTTAGTAATTTCATTATGGTATGGATTGCCAATAAGGACATCCCTTTACTTATTCTTTTTTATTATTATAACGGAATCAATACACCATATTTAATTGTCTTTTTCGAACTAATACATTTTCACAACACCTTTCACTTTCCTTTGGACAGTCGGTGATGGAAAATACCAAAAGTGTTCATTAAAGTAGTAAATATTTCCTGTATTTGTGATTCTGCGTCATTAATGTTACACGGTGTCCTTATCCAATAAAAAACCTGTCAAATAAATAAAGTGATGCATCATAAATATCCTCAATGCTCTCCATATCATTTTCACTTGAGGTGACTTTAACTTCCAAGTCATCTACCTTCTTGGTAGGACTTGATTCTTCTTCTCTTTCTCTCTTAATTTTTTTCACTGGAAGTTTCTTTGGGGGGGAGGGAAAAGAAAGTGAGCCAACAAAAGTCGTAAAATTCTCATCATCTTATTGAGAAGAAAATTCTTCACTTGATGTAGACTCTGACTCAATATCACTCGACTTAACTTTTATAACTTTCATAATTTCTTTGGGGATGTTCTTCTTTCTATTTAGGCATTCCGTAGTCAAGTGTCTTAGGGTTTGACACTCAAAGCACTGGACCCTTTGCCCCCTTTTTTTAGCGCCTTGTTGAAATTTTCTTTCCCCTTTGTTCTATGAGATAATGGGATGGAGGTACTTTTTTTTGAACTTATTTGGTTTTAAGTTTCACCTCCAAACTTATCCTCCTTTAAGTCCTCTATTTCATGACTTATTTGTCAATAAGTACACATTTCAAAATATTTTTAAATTCTTTTTGAAATATATTCCATATTTATCCTTACCAGAAATAGGTCATACATAATATACAACTTTTATATTTCCAATATCTAAATATTAGAATTGAGACTTTTAAGATTCCTTTTGATATTTGTGTATTATTTGAATTTTAAAATTTTAAGTCATATTCTTCTTTTGTATCTTCTTCCCGGTTCAAGAAGCTGCTTTTGTATTCATTCTTCACCAGTTCAAGCATTTATCTCATTGTATTTCTTTTTCACTAGTTCAAGCATTTCTCTCACATGTTCAAGAAAATTCTTTACCAAACAAGACACCATTAATCTGTAAGTATTCAAAATACTGGCATTCAGCATCTTCATGAAATTTTTGAAATTGTGGAGCATTAAATTTTATATTTTTTTTTATTTTATTATGTTGGAATTTTTCAGAATAAAATAAACATTAATTTTTGTTGGTCATTTAATATTTTCAATGTTCTATTTTTCCATTCCGAAAAGATAAATGAAACTCTCATGCTAAAATGATTTGATGATTGAAACTAGTTTTTTTAAGGTTCTACCTCACTTTTTTCATGAAGAGTTTTAATTTTTATGGAATGGAATATGATTTATTGTTTGGTATAACTCTTTCATTCAACATCTTCATGAAATTTTTGAAATTGTGGAGCATTTTTTGTTTTATTCTGTTGGAATTATTCAGAAATATGAAACATTAATTTTTGTTGGTCATTTAATATTTTCAATGTTTAATATCTTTTTCCATTCCGAAAAGATAAATGAAACTCTCATGCTAAACTGATTTGAAGATTGAAACTAGTTTTTTTAAAGCTTATATATCACTTTTTTCATGAAGAGTTTTGATTTTTCTGGAATCGAATGTGATTTACTATTTGATGTCACTCTTTCATTCAGTATCTTCATGAAATTTCAGAAATTGTGGAGTATTTTTTATTTTATTCTGTTGGAATTTTTCAGAAATATGGAACATTAATTTTTGTTGGTCATTTAATATTTTCAATGTTTAATATCTTTTTCCATTCCAAAAAGATAAATGAAACTCTCATGCTAAAATGATTTGAAAATTGTAAATAGTTTTTTAAAGCTTCTACCTCACTTTTTTCATGAAGAGTTTTGATTTTTCTGGAATCGAATGTGATTTACTGTTTGGTGTCAATATTTTATTTTTTAATTTTTTTTTGGTCATTGATGAAATCTAGAACATGCATTATCGTATATGATTTACTGTTTGTTGTCATTATTTCATTTTGGGAACCTGTTACTGATTTTCTATTTATACACTTATTTAAGGTCATGGAGGAAATGATCATGCTATTAGCTCTACGCACAACCCAAAACAAGAGGATGTCTTCCAATTTGATTGCAGATCTAATTGTTGACAATGTCCGTGAAAAGGCGAACACTCGTCCAACTGAGGTGGTTAGCGATTTTCGTTCATCGTATGACCTTACAATATCATTTGACCAAGCATTGTTAGGTGTGGAAAAAGCAAAAGCAATGCTTTTTGGGGATTATTCTTTGTCTTATGATCAATTACGTTGGTATGTAGATGCGGTGAATAATACAAATTTCGGTAGCCATATAGTGCTTGATTGTGATCAAATATCTAAACGATTTTATAAGTTATTTGTATCATTCAAGGCATGCATTGATGGGTTCAACTACTGTCGGCCTATTTTGTTTGTTGATGGAATCTTCCTTAAAGGAAAGTACAAAGGAAATATTCTTTCGGCCATTGAAAAAGATAGAAATCAAGGTATAATTTTGTTTGTATTATTAAATTGTTATTGTTTATTGTATTTCTTTGTTTTTTTTTGGTAATTGAATCTGTATACTGTTACTGTTACTATTTTTTTTTTTGGAAAGTTTTGTTGAATCTGTATGTTATTACTCTACTTGGCAGGTTTATTCCCTTTAGCCTATGCGGTGGTTGATTCAGAGAATGAGACTAATTTGCATTGGTTCTTACAATAATTGTCGGTGGTTTTGGATCCTGAACGAGTGCTTACATTTGTGTCTGACCGGAATGCTGGGTTGTTGGAAGCTATGCCCAAGGTTTTTCTGAGGTCCCACCATGTTTTTTGTTTGCAAAATTTGAAGGCAAACTTGATGGACAAGTTTAGCGGGTCTCGATTTTCAAATGTCTTGAGAAAGTATCTGATAAATTAATTTCGTGAGGCCGCATATGCTCCAACAATTGCAATATTTAATGAGAAGATTGAAGCTTTAAGACGTGAAGGTGGACCCAATGTGGACAGATTCTTGAAAAATCTTCCTTATGAAAACTAGGCAAATGCTCATTTTAAAGGTAAACGTTATGGTGAAGTGACCTCTAATGTAGTGGAGTCATTGAATTCTTGGATAATTAAGGCACGAAATTTACTGATCACAAGCATGGTGGACATTATACGGGGACAATTAATGAATCAGATGGGGTGCAGGTTGGCTACATCTCACACATGGAATGGAAATTTGTGTCCTGCTACGGAATCTAAATTACATATTGCATTTGTTGAAGGGAGATCTTGGTCTGTGAGGGTTTCAAGCAACGAAGAATACGAAGTCAACTCATATCCTTCGGTTTCTGTTAACATTTAGAATGGAATGTGCACATGTTTTCAGTGGCAAATTAATGGTTTTCTTTATTCTCATGTGGTAGCTGCGATACGTAAAAGTGGGAGGAATATGAATGAGTTTGTGGATTATTATTATCATGTGAGCACATACAAGAAAGCATATTCTCAAGCTATATTTCCTATCCCGACTCTTTGTCGTCCAGATTTATCGGTGGAGGAGGCTGAGATATTGCTGCCATTATCTAAGAAACAGCCTGGCAGACCAAAGAAGTGTAGAATAAGGTCACGTGGAGAACTTATTAGGCGAATTCGATGTGGCCGTTGTGGGCGGTTAGGAAGCCACGACAAAAAAACATGTAATGTGGCTTTGTGATTGGATTACTTTTTTAAATTAATGTTTTTCCAGTGTTCATTTAGTTTTGTTGATCGGAGTTTTTTTTTCTTTTTTTAATTCCATAAGAATTTATGTCCAAAAACAATAAAATTTATGACAAGAAAGTGTGTCAGCTAATAGTTAGTTATACAACTAAAAGTAGTCCAATATAACCCATACAAAATAAGAGATACCACATATTAAAGTATATATTGTCATCAAATAGTGGACACAAATATTAGACATACAAATAGTGTCACTAAAGATTTACAGGAGATAAAGATAAATATACACCAACTAGTGGCGTCATATAATGCCCCCTTAAGTGCCCGAGTAGTGTCAGTAAAGAGTGACAACAATAGATTGAACCTAAATGATGACAATATATATTGCCCACTCAAAGACTTGCACTTAATGAG